AGTCCTTTGAGTAATACATGAATCGCTGGTAGGAAATCATATTAAAGTAGTTGACATGGCCGTTGCTTCGAGTTCCAAACAAGTGTATGATGGCAGCTTGGCACTGGGAAATGATGTAGACCAACGTGGCGGGTTACTCTCAATATCCACCGTCGATTTACCAAAAACCGTTCCATCAAATCTTACCCGGAAAGTAATAGAAGTTAAGAAGAAACTTTTGGAATTCTTTATTATTCTTGGATGGTGCATCCTTTGCCGTATCATCTTGCGCCAATTAAGGGTCAACTCATTAGACCTAAATTTCAGTTCAATTCATTGAGTATTGACCTTGTGGCTATTGTGGTGATTGAGCTGGAGGAGGAGATCCCAATTTCAATGACTGTTGATGAAGTGACTGCTGGAAATATCAAGGAGGTGAAGAATCACATGAGGAAGAGGTGTTTTCGACTGAGTTATGGCTCTTGCTGAGGTTGATATTGTTGTGCCTCTAAATGTTATTCCACAGTAGGAGACACTGACATTGATGCTACCAAATAGAAAAAATAAAGCTAAAGACTTGGGTAAAAATTCTGATAAGGAGTAAACTCTTTTTGGTTTGATGATAGGAGACATGGGGATGGATTTTAATGTCCCCATTGGTGTGATATTTCAGGAAATCTTGGAACATAGAAAGGCCAAGAAGCTAGCAGAAAATGGGGCTTCTATTATTTCGAGTAAATGCTAAGGAAGCCACTACAATTCCTAGTAAATTAGTTACCAAGAAGAAGAACATTAAGGGCACTTTGAAGGGCACCCGCTCATCTGCTAGGTTGGAGGCTCGAGGAAAATCTAAAGGAGGTTGTTCATCTAAAAGTGTAGCCATCAGTGAGCCCGAGGTGGTGGTTTAAACATATGACATCTCTTATTCAGACTATTTGACTATGGAAGCGTCGTTGCTGGAAGAAGCTAACTTTGGGCTGATCCGAACGGACCAGGTCCCCCCCCCCCCCCCTGCCCCCTTTAATGAATATATTATCTTGGAATGTAAGGGGTCTGGGCAATCCCAGACTAAAACATGATGTTTTATTTTTGGTTTCCAAATATAAACGTGTGGTGCCGCGTTGCAAAAGACCAAACTCCCTAGCCCCAATCTTTTTGGGTAAGGGAGGTATGGGGCTTAGGGGCAGTTAGTTTTTGTGATATTAATTCCATAGGTGCATTGGAGGGGTTATGGATATTATGAGACATGTTGGTCTTACAAGGATTTGAGATTATCTTAAGGTATAGATTTTTGTTGGTAGGTTTTAATGGTCTTATCTTAAGGTATAGATTCCTGTTGGTAGGTTTTAATGATCTTATACCAAGTTATTCTTGGGGTGTTTGTAATGTGGATGGTCCTAACCTATCTACTCTGAAAGTAGTTTTGTTGACGACTTGAATGACGTGATTCATAATTTCCATTGTGTTTTGGGAGGGGACATCATTTGATTTGGTGGCCTGATGAATGTTTATCTGGTACTCTTCTCAATTCTTTTATGAAACTGTTTAATAATTTTATAGAAAGTAATTTACTTTTGGATAAACTTATTTGTGGCATGAGGTTCACTTGGTCTTATAACAGCATAAATAATTTATCCATGTCTAAGCTAGATGGTTTTTTGGTGTCTATCGATTGGGTGGAGAATTTCCCTTTAGCTTTTATAAGGGCTCTTCCTTGGTTATCATCTCACCATATCCCAATTTTGTTGAATACTTGTATTTTGAGAGGAGGTTTGAAGCGTTTTAGAATGGATATCGGATGGTTTGAGGAGAAAGCAATTGTTGATATCGTTAAAGGTGCTTAAGCAAACAATGTTACTTTTGGATCCTTGGATTTTCAGATGCATAAAAAGCTACTCAATATCAAGCAAAAACTCATCACTTGAAAAAAAAAAAAAAAAATAACAATGTTAAAGCTAAGATTGATGAGATTTTGAGTAATATCGAGCTACTAAACCAAGGTATTCAAGACTTTAGGGTGTTGAAAAAACAACGGATAATGGTCTTCCATTCTTTGCAGAATGAATAAGGTTTTGGCAGAGTGACTAAAATTGGTCTTACTTTCAATTATCTCTAGCGCACAATCAACTTTTATTCAGGATCGTTAGATAACTGATAGTGTTTTAGTGGCCCAAGAATATATTCACTTTAGAGTGGTAAGCCAACTTACGGGGGTATTGATTAAATTGGATATGGAGAAGGCTTATGATAAAGTAGAGTGGAGTGCACTTTTGGAGGTGATGAAGAATATGGGTTTTGGAAAAAAATGGAGAAATTGGATTTTTGGGAATCTATCTACAACTCATTTTTCAATGCCTTTAAAGGGCAACTCTGTAGGTTTTTTCAATGTACCAAGATGCTTACGTCAAGGAGATCTTTTATCCCCTTTTTTGTTCACCATTTATGCAGAGTGTTTTAATTTGATGATTCAGAATGTGGAAGGTATGAAAATTTTACGGGGTTTAAGATTGCTAGGTAAGTCCATTGTGTATCTCATTTACAATAGGCAGATGATACACTCATTTTTTGTGAGGTGGATGTGATACAAGTGCAGATTAAAGCTAGATTTCTGGATTGTTGTGAGGTGGCTTTGAGATTAAAAGCTAATTTTCATCAAACATCCTTGATTTCTATTAACTGTTCCCAAACTGTGGTGGAGATTTTCGTAGATTCGATGGGCTGTAAGGTTGGATTTTTCGCTGTAACTTATCTGGGATTGCGTATTTTTTATACCAGATTATCAATATCTATGTGGGACAAAATTATGGAGAGAGTTCAAGTAAAATTTGACTTGTGGAATCCAAAATATTTATCCTTAGGAAGTAGGGTTACATTGTTAAGATCATATTTAGCAAATTTACCTATTTATTAGATGTTGATCATCCATATGCCTGCTTCAGTAGCTAAAAAGATTGAGTGGATGATGCAGAAGTTTTTGTGGGGTTCCTTAAGAGATGAAAAAAAATATCATCTATTGAGATGGGATAGAGTCTATATATCGAAAAGGGAAGGAGGACTGGGTATTAGAAAAGTTATACCGATAGGGAGATGAGAACCTCTAAAGCTTGGGTGTGTGAAGTTTGATTTTTTATAGTAGCTCTTATGGCAATCTAGGTCAGACTGATTTTGGAGGGGTGCGGAGAAATGCAATTTGGGAGATTATTTTCTCCTATGCTGGCCCATGTGGGGAAGCCTTAGCTAATTTTGTTGAGCTTGAAATGCTTTACAAGGCATTTGCTTGGTACATTAAAGGAATTATAATATCTTTTGCTATGTGAAAGAGGATTATTTAAATATAATAACTTTGTGGAACAAGATTTTCATACCACCATAGAGCATGAGATCGAAATAGATGGAGATCATGGATATTTGTGTTCATTTGGAAGTCTCCTCCAATAATATGTATGGAGAAACCATTGAGATTGTGGATAGTTTAGCCTAGAGAGGAGTGTCGTTGGTTTCGATGGTTATCTATGAGGGTTTGCCTTTCTAATTTTATAATGATTGTAATTCAGTATAGTTTAATAAAATAAAGTACTCTTGTCAAGTAAATAAAAAAAGTTGGTCAACAGACATTCAAATAGGAAATGACATAGTACTAATCCTTTTCTTGAAACGCCCAAATGATATCGTTTATAATGATTTTTAGTAATTTTTAAAAAAAAATTAAAGTTGGAAAATATCTTCATATCTCCTATTTTTAGGTTCCATTTTTTGATAAACCCAAGGTTTTAAAAGATATCTTCTAACCCCCTGGTCACTTTTAACCTATTTTTTAATTTAAACAAATGTGAGAAAGACATATTCTTTATAAACCCAATTTTTCTCTCTTTTCACTTAGATACCCCGAACTTTCTCTCTCTTCATGCGTCTCTCACTCTCTCCTCCTGTCAAACTTAAAAAATACACCTTCTTTCTAAACCCTTATCTATCTTCCTGTTCTTTTCCCCCCATCTCCCGAACCCCTCTCTTTCTCTGTGTATTCCTTTATTTTTACTCTCCCAGTCATCTCTTTCTGTATTCAACTATTTTTTCTCTCCTAGTCCTCTCTCTCTTTCTGTATTCCCCATTCTATTTCTCTCACTCATTCTCCCTCTCTTCCTATGCCTTCTTCCCGTTCCCTCTTCCTGATCTCTCTCTCCCCATCTTCCAAACCCCCCTTCTCTCTCCCCCTTTATATTTCCCCTTATTTTTCCTCTCCATGTCATTTATCTCTTTCTGTATTTTCCATTATTTTTCTCTTCCCTTGTCTCCCACTCTCTCTTCACACCCAACTCTTTCTCTACAACATAAATGTTTAAAATTATATGGAGGATATATGGAGAACAGAGACGGAGCACAAAGATTCAACGGACGTCACTAAATATTTTCAAGAACCAGTATAGATATGGTTCTCAAAATACATTATATGAGCTTTCAAAGGTTGCCAAAACACATCCTCTACGTTTTCAGATGGAGAGAGATAACGTGGGTTTGGCATATGGGAAGAGAGAAAATGGGAAGGGAGAGAGAGTTAGAAATAAATGTGGGTTTGGCAGATGGGAAGAGGGAAAATGGGAAGGGAGATAGATTTAGAAATAGATGATGGCTTTTAGAAAAGATATATCATTTTAGATTTGGTTGACCTAAAAAACATGTTTTTATTAACTTAGAGAGTTAAAAGAAATAAAATCTATAATTTTTATACCTCAAGATATCTTTTAAAACTTTGGATCTATTGTGAATTGAAACTTAACAATTGAGACATGGAGATATTTTTTTTAAAATAAAACTCTTGTCAAAAAAAAAAAATGTTGGTCCACATATATTCAAATAGGAAATGACATTGTACTCGCCCCTTTTTTTTGAAACCCCCAAAAGGCACTGTTTACAATGTTTATAATGATTTTTAATAATTTTTGAAATTCTACGTTAAGGCAAAAGAGCCCTATTTTTTTGTCTATTCATGATTACCTCTAAGAATGGATTCTATTCACTAATGAATAGCGTGCTGAGAAGAAACAGAACCTTATAGGACTTTCACAGACCCCACCTCATTTCTCCTTCCTTCCACATCCAAATCCAAATCCATCTCTCTTTGTCTCTCTCTCACATACACGCGCTCTCTCTGTAAGCGGCTATGGAGGTCAGCACTGGTCTGTCTAGCTTTCCTTTCAAAGAAGCCATTACCCAAACCTCTAACTCCCATTTTCTTCCTCTGCTCCCCCATCTGGGCCTCATTAATCAAAGAACCAGAAGAACCACCTCCATTAAAGCAACCCTAACTACTCCTGCTCCAAAAGGAAGAAGAAGCACCCTTTCCGCAAATTGGGAGTTGGGTATCTCTTCAGGGCCGACATGGATGCCAAGAATGGATGAGTTGGATGTCACCAACATGCTCCTCAGGCAGAGGATTGTCTTTCTCGGAAGCCAGGTAGAGAGAGAGAGAGAGAGAGAGAGAGAGAGAGAGCCTTTTTATTGTGGGTATCATATACTGAAGTTTTTCGTGTGATTTTGCAGGTGGATGATATGTCTGCTGATCTGATAATCAGCCAGCTCTTGTTTCTTGATGCAGAAGACAGTGCAAAAGACATTAAGCTGTTCATTAATTCACCCGGCGGCTCCATCACTGCTGGTATTTTCTCATAAAATGATGCAATCCTTACAAATTTCATGTGGGCTTTTCCTTTCCATGACTGGTTTACTTCTCATTCTTAGACTTCGTTTCTATGAACGCCTTCATCGTATAAGAGGTGAACTGTAATTCTTTTATATTTCCATCCTCGTTCTTTATTTGTTATTGTAATGAGTCTAGGAGGAGAACTGTTGCATACAGCTTTGAGCAACTGTTATGTTCTGTTGTTGTTATTTGGAAAAAACAAAAGTGTTCTATTTGTTATTTTGATGGTTATGATTTGTCATTAGAATAAATTGAGCTTATTGGCCTTTCCAATATATAAATGTATCACATGACAGGGAACATTTCTTACTGAGTAGAACTTTTGATTATTTATGTGACTCTTTGTATTAGAGTAGTTGAACTTCTGGACCCTTACAGTAGATTATTTGCTTGAAGTGAGAGTTTTTCATTGTGGATTATCATATAGACAAGGTCTTTTAGCTCACAAGCTTTTATACTAGAGAGGTTTTGTCTTACAGACTCATACAGTCTACTTATAACCATAGACAATATTGTCTTTTTGTGACAAATTCCACAGTGCACTTTGAGCCTTAGGGTTGCATACTTTTCTCATGCCTTATAACTTGTTAGGTTGAAGGTACTAGGGAATTAGAGAAGTTTGGGGTGCCATTTTGATTAGTATGGACCACATGCTTCTTTCAAGCTCCTCAAGTGAGTGAATGACAGACTTGTAAATGTGAAACACCTTTTGATTGGTATACATCAGCCACTTTAGGCTCATATCTTCTTTTATTTCTTTGATAGTTGACAATTGACACTTATTAATACTTGCAATTACATTGAAAGGCACACATCTTAAAAACATATGCTATGCGAGTGGAAGGTTAATTAATAGGGACCCCTCCCACTTGTGCAACAAAGACCCCTTTCGTTCTATAAGCACATAGGCATTGCAATAGGCATCTATTCTACATGAATATTTATTCTATTATGTCAACCAGTCTCCATGCTACTTAGCATTTGGTTACACCCATCTGATAACATTGATCATCCTTCGTCATTAAAGGATAAGTAAAGAATTGCACAATATGCTCATATCTCTCAAGGACACTCTTATCTCTGCCACAGTAGAGTCACATCTATTTCTATGCCACCCGACAAAAGTCACTAGAACTCTGCTTTTTCAATTTTAAGCAGCCCTCCAACTTGCGCAAGCCCTAGTTTCTGATTGAGACCATCATTAAAATTTATGAGAAGTCAACTTTTGAATGAGCCCTACTGGGTCAAAGATTAGGTGTTGTTTTCGTGGCTTGGAGGAGATGCACTTCTCCTTGAAGCAATTCTAATGAGGGACAACCTTCTCTATCACCTCTGAATACATAGACCAAGGACAACATCTTGCATGATTTCAATTTGCTTGTCACATAGGACATGAGACTAGGACTCACTACACTCGAAAGCAAGTTCCCCATGTTCAGCCACTCGAACACATGGGCATATACACCTCTACACTTTCCAACTAGAGGCGAGAGTTCCTGTTTGAACTCATCTTTCATGTGCTATTAGATGGATGGACAAACAAAGGTGGCCTCCATTAGATGAGTATGACCTTTGAAACGAAAAGAGATGGCGAACATGCCTCGTCTCATCTGGTTCAGATCTTTGCGTGCTGCTTTATGGATACAGGAGCACTGATCCTGTCACTATAGCCCACTGCACTCCGCTTTAAGACACCTAATGCTCTCAAGCTAACTAACATTTGACTTGTAACTCGACGCCTTGGGCATGTCATATGAATTGGTAGTGAATGCTACCCACTCCCACAACAGTTCTCCCTTCATTCAAGCTATTAACTTTGGCTTCCACTTGCATATCTCTCTTCTGCAAAGGCAGGCATGGCCTTTTTAGTCTCTCAGATCTTTTGATGAATATCTCCCAAAGACCTGAACCAGGTCATTTATTTATTTAGGCTGCTCAAAGACCACTTTGCTTCCTAGCTCATTCATTGCGATGAATCTTTGCTCTGACTATTCATTTAATGATGCTTCCTTGATCCACATTCATCTTGTGTATGAACTACTGTGCGTTCATGATCGACGTACTATCCACTGTATATGTTATGGGTATTGATCTCTTTCCACATCCTGTCCTTATTCATTATATGTTTGGTTTAATGGTTTTAGCTAGTTTTCAATCTGCCTTTTTCCCCTTCCCTTATGTTTTTATTTTTCTACAACTTTACTTTCCACATATTTGCATATTCATTGTCATTTTAACTTAAGAGCTGCAAAATGTCAAACAGGAATTCTTAGTGGAAATTGCAAGACTACCGGATGCGAAAGGAATTGGAATGCACTTGACTGAATTCATAAAAGGAAAGGAACAGATTAAATTACGTAAGCAATTAAATGATCGAGTCTTCATTGAGTATGGTTTGAAGCTGCAAAAATTATTGTATAATTTTTTAAAACATAATTCTTTGATTGTTCAGGATGCTGGAAACCCATTTCTAAATTTGAAAATTATGTACTGTAGAAACTTATTTTTGAAGCAAGTGCTTGCCATTGGATCCCAATAGCCTGGAAAATCAATTCTGAAAAACTCGAATTTGGTGACTGGCTTGGTTATTGCCAAAAATAATTTGGTGACCAAAAGGTTAATTTGGAAAGACTCAGATAGCTCTTCTCATTTTTGCATACTTTCTAGGAACGGGAGCGGGGGTGGGACCGATGGATCAACACATGGAGGAAGTTCCCTAGGTTGGGAGAGCGTCCCTACAATTTTTAATTCATCATCATCATCTGAGCCTTATCCCGAAAAATATTTAATTGATTAATAAAATATTTTTAGAGATTAAAAATTTTATAAATTAAAAATCCTACAATTCCACAAAATACAATAAAACTGGGCTCACAAAAATGGGCATTTTAGAATTTTTATTTATTAAATTAAATTTTATTTAATTGGTAAATAATATTTTTATATTCATTTCCAGCGTAGTTTATACAACAATAATTCCTCAAAATGCAATAAGGAAAAAAATATTACGATGAGGCACATCGGGATAACAAATAACAGTACAAGGGGGATTATTTCTTATTCATAAAAGTATGCTTCATTTACAATTTTCACACTTTGCAACACCCAAAAGCATAAACAACTACCTTATTTGCAATTTTACACTTCACAACACCCAAAAGCATGAGAGAGAGAGGGAGAGAGTGTGTGTGTGTCATCGCAACCGAGATCCAAATGAATCATCTTCTTGGCTTCTTATTGCCCCAAAGAGTGGCTAGGAGCGATCTCAAAAAGTTGGGAATCAAGATCCCTATCTAGGAGGGTTGGAGCGGGACCCAGAGCAGGATCTGCTCCTTGGTTGGGTGATCACAGTAACTATGCATTTCTTTGTGTAAAAACTTTGAAACAAAAAGTGGTTGGAATGGGAATCAAACCAAGTTTGTCAAACAAGCCATTCTACTATGCTATCTCATCTTAAGAGATCATTTACTTTTAAAGTGAATGCATAAAATTATAAGGAAAATTCAAACATAACCGAGCTTTTGATTTATGAAACGCGTTCATTGAACCGGTATAGTTTCATGGGCGAGTTGTACCAACTCAAAATGAGTTTTATATCATTCTTAGAAAATATAAATAATATAGTAGAATATAGATTTCAGAGGCTAGTGAATCCTTGAGATCGAAAACTTGAGATAGTAAAGTGGGAAGCAGTTGGAGGAGGCAATTTAGTGGAGAATATAAATGTGCAATGGCTGACAAAGAGGATAACGATGATGATGGGTTTCATGAATATTATTAATTTAAGCTCAATTTTGAGGCTTAATTTCATTTCAATGTTTGTTACAATGCATAAATTGGATTTTTTGGATAGGTGTTATAACACTATAGTTTGGATTATTGATCATATGGGGAGATTGATGACTGGTTATCTTTAGGTTTTCTTTGTAATTATCCTTTTAATGAATGGAAATGCAAAATTGTGAATTATGTCTGGTTTTTAATATTTTGTAGAAAATGAGTGACATATATGAATGAGTTAAGTGACTCATTTGCATGTGAAAAATGATCATTTATTTTAATTTTTAAATCTTTTTTATTGTTCTTTTTTTTGTACTCTATTCTTCTTTTTTTCTTTTTTTTTTGGGAGTAAATTACCAGTACCTGCTAATTATGCCCTAAATAAGACATTCGATACAATAACTTATATAAGAACAGGAGATGACTTAAGTAGCTTCAACATGTACATTCTTACAATACATGATTATGCATTCAGGTCTGAATGATTGACTGCTTCTCCTTCTAATTGATGTTATTTTTATATGCTTCAACATTTTTCCCACTGGTTCAATCATCACCAAATTGCATGAAACATGTGCCAAGGAATGACAAAAATACATGGCCCATGAAGAAGCCTTTGATTTCTTAAATATGTTGGTGACATTTGTTTGTGTACTCTGATGCAAAATATTGGAGAGAAATCATCTTTACCTTAGATTCTACTCGAATGATGTAAAATTTATCTTAGCTCCTCGGTTAATTGATTAGATTATTAAATTTTGGATCATTTTGGTTTTACATTCAATTGTTTTCAGGAATGGGGATTTATGATGCTATGAAATTGTGTAAGGCGGACGTCTCGACTGTCTGTTTAGGTCTTGCGGCATCCATGGGTGCATTTTTACTTGCTTCTGGAAGTAAAGGAAAGAGGTTTTGCATGCCCAACTCAAGAGTAATGATTCATCAACCATTGGGAACAGCTGGCGGGAAGGTAAGGGCATTTCTGCAAATTCATACTTTTTCATTAGCAACTCTTGTAATTACAGATCCAGTTAAAACTTTCCTCTTTCCACATCTAATTGACCTTGAAATTTGTTATTGTCTATGCAATATTGATTAGTTGTGATCAGAGAGGAAATTGAAGTCATAGGCTACATAACCATGTATAGGTGCAATTACTGTTGCGTGTAATCTACTTATACCATATAATTTGTGAAAGTAGGATGGGTGTGTGATTTGTTTGCAGCCATTTGTTGGTCTTGATATGCAACAAAGTTATCTCAATATTTGTCTAATGAAAAAGCTCATTCATCATTTGGTCATTGGTTAAGGTACATATGAGTAGATGGAATATGGGTGCAAATGAGCATCTGTACATCTTCCAAAATGGCTTTTTTTTTTGGAGATTAAGATTTGCGAGTGTACATGACAAGATTGTTGCCATGTGAATCGCCCCATAATTGGGATTGTTTCCCATATGATTGCTATTATCTACCCTACGACCATCAGCAATGAAGGTCCAAGTGGTTATGGTCATTGGTGCACATTACATCAGTATGTCTGCTTTTCCATGTAAAAATTTTAGGGCATGCTTTGTTTTGTGGAAAAATATTTCCCAGGAAATATTTTCACAAGAAAGAATTTCCTCGTGTGGTTAGGTGTAGGAATATTTTAACACCATTAGTCCTAATACATCTTTTCACACCAATTGTCAACTAGTTAGTGTGAAAGTAGTCTCACACCTAACCACTCGAGGGAATTTTTGAAAACATTTTAATATTTTCACACAAATCAAACATGCCCTTAAAAACTGCTGGCACATGTTGTGGAGGCATTCAGTCCAAAGGAAGGTTAACCTTGGGTTTTTGCGGTCTCTTTGGTTTTGGTCCTTTGCTGCGGTTTTCTATTGCTCTCTTCTCCAAAGTGGATGCTCTAGATGTTTATAGGCTTAAAATAGGTAACCTTTTTGCGCATTTCATGAATGCTACTGAAAATTTAAATATGCCGGCTGTATTTTCTCCAGAATAGGCTTTGAATGCTTGTTTTTTCTTGGATGAATTGTACTACATACTTTGCTCTCTAGCCAACCACTATTAGGATGCACGCTTGGGGCGTCATTATTGATTTTATCCACTTCACCTAGGCTTTAGATATGGTGGTTGTTCTTAAGAACATACCTTTTTTTCTATCTTCGTTGTTGTTCTTAAGAACAACTTTTTTTTCTATCTTCCTGGCATGTTAATGCCCTGGCAGCAGTAGGGCAAACCCAGTATGCCAAGCCAAAGAAAAAGAGAAAAATAAAGCCCTGATCGTGTATCTTTCATTCTTTTGCTTCTCCTTGTATTACTTGCTTGAATTGAGTCCTTAGTAAGATTTTAACCTGATATATCTTTTAGAAACAATATATTTGAGATAAAACTATCATATTTGAAAGTTTTTTAATTCCCAAAACTTCAGTCAAGGTTTTGCCAGATTTTGAAAATTGCAACTGATTTTCGATGAAATTCAATCCTTAATTTGTCTTCTCGATCCAACCATGGGCTTGATTTTCACAAAACAAAAATATCAGGATTTAAGAGATTTCAAATTCAGATTTGCTATTCATCCTTAATTTTCAAGTGCTTGGTTCTCCTAGATCCGATCTTGGAACCAAAAACTAGTTTGGGGTTTTGTTGGGGTTGTGTAAGGAAGTTTTGACAAGCATTTGAGGCATTGGTTCGCATTGAGCTCAAGGGTTTGGCCTAAAAGTTTTGGGTATGAAACATATTCCAATTTAAATTTATAAAAGTGATTTATTTTTGGCTAAGTCACTCATAACTCATTATTAGTTCATTTTGAATAGTTTGTAAGTTTTTAAGCAAATTTTATGATGTTTTCTATTTTTCCTTTTTTCTGGTTATTCAGTTTTCCCTTTTTCAGGTTATTCAGTTTTTCTTTCTGATTTAGGATAAACATTTTATTTTTTATGAATTTTCTATTTTTTGGAATTTTCATAAGTTTTATAATTTTTCCATTTTTTGGGCTTTTTTTGGCTTCAGCAGGACTTGGACTCACCCAAGTAACTTGGCTCTGCAGGAGACCGAGTCCCAATGCAGATTCTATTTTTTTTCATGTATTCTTCTATTTGGATGATGGACTGGTTTAGACATGGATGCTTGTACTAATTCCGAGTCTTCTAGATTCTGCTACTTGTTCATTGGCTACATCAAGGTTATCAAATGTGGAGGCGGTTTGGGACGCATGGGGGACTGATGTGTTATGCAGCTCGACGTAGCTGCGATCCGTGTGCATCGTTTCCCATGGGGCAATAATTATAAAAAAAGGTTAAAAATTATGAAATTTATTAAAACAAAGGCTGACACAAATATGTGATTTTCCAATACTAGGTATTTCAATTTAGTATTTGTCTCGAATATATATATATGTTGTCTCAAACGCAGATAGAGTAGTAGAGATGGTTTTTTTAAAAAAAAATATGAATCTTATGAACAATAAAATGTCCAATCCTTTGATCAAATTCAATAAAACACAAAAGAATTAGTCAATATGCCAAGCACTAAGAAAGCACAAAAGTATAAGTCAATATGCCAAGCACTAAGAAAGCTCAATCAACTCAAGAAGTTGATTTTGCTTCTGGCACAAACCAAAATAATTAAGATTTCTCGGTTCAATCGTCTTCAAACCCTCAAATGAGTTTAGAGCTCAGTGTTATGCAAATTATTCCAAAGTCATCTAAGAATCAACTTGGAAAGTTGCTGGAAAAACTGCACAAGTTCGGCTCATAAAACCACAATAGAAAAAGGGTTCCAAAGGTGTTTTAGGGGTATAGCCCCTCCAAACCTTCCCCCCTTTTCTCAGGAGGTGGAAGAGACCAAAATAACCCTGCTCATGGGCTATATGTCCACTCATGAGCAGGGTGGGTAGATTTGGCTGCTTAGGCTTGTGTTGACGGAGCTGTCTATGTGGCCAATGCGCTGCCGAGGCAGGTGCGCCATGAATGCCTACCTAGGTATGCTGAAGCAGCAACCATGGGTGGCTGCACCTCTCTATGTCCGAATAACGCAGCATGTAGCCACAGTTGCTAGCTCTGGGCTACATCATATAGACATGAACTTCAATTTTTTAATAGAGTCAATAGACACATCTTGAACTTTGCAAATCAATAAGGATTCACATTTTGATGGCAACTAAGGTATGATTGATTTCTTTTCTCGGGTGTTTTATGAACTGGCTAGGTACATTATCATAAAATGAAATATCAGTAGAAATGTTGGAATTTTCTATCTTTTTTTGTGCATATGTGTATGTGTGCGCGTGTTTATATATATGTGTGGCTATGGTCTTGAATCCTATTTTCCAAAGCAGGGGGGAATCAAGCACGTCGTAATTGTGTCACAGACATATGTTCTAAAACTTCATTGTGACTGGTACAATGTATTTGTGTGTGTTTGTATTTGTGTATATGTATAAAGATATTATGGATGGATGGAAACTTCTGATCCAATTGCTGTTCATGATTTAGATTCAGCTACTCATCATTGTGCTTTCTATTCTCATGATCTCAGACGACAGATATGAGTTTACGCATAAGAGAAATGATGTACCACAAAGTCAAGCTGAACAAAATATTCTCAAGAATAACTGGGAAATCCGAGAAGCAGGTGAGCTTGATTAAAGTGTCTTCCAAGTTTTTTAAGATCTCTTCCCCTTCATATTACAATTTAGTAGTTTGGGACCTCGACATAGAGCTCTGGGTTAGGGCTTTGGAAGCTAGATTTCTTATGAGAGAGGCATCCAGAGCATGAATGAGCATGGAAGCATCAAATTGGAAAGGAATTAACTGAAATCACCACCCTTGGAAGATGGGGTTCTATTTGGGATGAGATCCGCTTTTTGGAACCTCGATGTATGTCATATGGGCTGCATGGCCTTCTGGCATCTGTCTCTCTTTGTATACATCTAAAGTATACTATGATCCTCATGAATATGAAAAAACCGTGCTGTCTAGTTCCATTCTCTCCCCATCGCCATCCGTTGTTTCAGTGGATTGTGGATTATTGTAGACTTTCTAGTGTGTTCTGTGCACACTCATTTGCGTACATGCATTGGGGAGGGGGGGAGGAGAGAGAGAGAGAGAGAGAGGCGAACCGATCTTGAGGATTAATGAAAAGTTTCAAGTCAAATTAACGAAAAAAGAAAAAAACATGAGAGACAGGTAAATGAAGAAATTATAATTAGATGGTTTTGTGACTTGAGCTTTCAGATTGAAATTGATACAGACCGTGATAATTTCATGAACCCATGGGAAGCTAAGGAATATGGGCTGGTTGATGCTGTGGTTGATGATAGTAAGCCAGGTCTGGTTGCCCCAATTGGAGATTTAACCCCACCACCAAAGACTAGAGTGTGGGACTTGTGGAAAGTGGAGAAATTAAGTAGGAAGGCCGTAAAGAACTTGCCTTCCGAAGACAATATCTTGCAAAGAGAAACTGAAGGTAGTGAGAGAATCGAACAGGAGAGGAGCTCAGAGCATGCAAAGGGGGAGCCAACACCTGTGTGAGACCCAAGATGCAGGTTGCAAGTTTTTCCTTTTCTACTTTGTTCTCAGTAAAGAAGCTCAGCAGTTGCTTGTATTTGTATATTTTAATATGTTGGGTGGGAGCAATTGCTCAGGGATTAGGAAATTCAGAAAATCAAACGCAAGTTTATGGGGTTTGTCTGGTTTGAAAACTGAAACCATCTTGGCCTCCTGGAAATATTCGAGAACTTTTGGTCAAATTCCACTGTGTTCTCACGGTTGTTCAAATTTTGTAACGGTACGATGCATGAAACTTACTATCTAAATTTGGTAAGTGGTGGATATGCATGTCTTCTATCTGAATCCATCATATTGTGTAGCGAGGACGGAATTATTATTCTATGGATATTTGGTTCATATTATTAAGGGTGCCAATTGTTGCCCCCTTAAAAGGTGCACTTTCAAAAATTTTGAACTCAAAAATAATTCGATCAACTAGATTTATAAACGCATGAAAATCTTGAAAATGGACAATCTAGATTATGTTTTGCCATATGCAAATGGATAGTCCAGATTATGTGTTGTTAGATGCACTATTTTAGAGATTCAAAATATTTTTATTTTTATTTTTTCATATCCATACATCTGTTAAATTTGATAGCATATATGTAAGGATATTGAATGGAGAATGGAGAGAAAAGAAGAGAACACAATATTTACGTAGTTTTGGTTGAAATTATACGTCCATGGATTCAAAATCCAATCGGCTACATTTTTACTATTTTTGATGAATATTTACATCAATAAGTTTCTCTATATAGAGAAACAATTAGAGGAGATAATTATGGTACGATAATTTGATGACCAAATAACTTGGTCTCTATCTTTTAAATACCTAACCTTATCAAGAGATATATATCCATATATCTATAATAATGTATATCAATATGAACTCGAGATATCCATATCTCAACACTCCCCCTCAAACTCAAGATGTTTTGACACAAAACAGCTGGAATTTGAACAATATTAAATTGCCAAAAAAAAGAAATGAGTAGTGATCAAATCTGAACAATATTAAGTTGCCAAAAAAAAAAACGAGTAGTGATCAAATCTGAACAATACTAAGTTGTCAAAAAAAACGAGTAATGATCAAATTCATGATAAATTTCATAGGTTACCATGGTTTTCCAAGAAACAACATTTCTTGGTCTTCCAAGAAACAACATTCCATGAGCTCTTTACTTTTTTTGGGAGACTTTCTCTCTCCAGGGTCTTTCAAGAAACAACATTTCTTGGGTTATCGACTTTCTTCTAGAGACTATCTCTCTCTCTAGGGTTTTTTTCTCTGAAGATCTTCTCCCTCAGATGCTATTTTTCTTTCTAAAGACTTTCTCTTTCTAAAAGAAAATGATATTTCTTTCTCTCTTCTTCGGAAGATCCAATTCCGGGATAGAGTAACGAAAAACTCAACGATCATCACACAGGATGGGGCGACGGAAAACTCCATCATCAAACTTGATCAAATAACCGAAAACTTGATCATCAACCAGGATCGAGAAATTCGATAGTTAAACTGAAATTGGAACGGGAGTCTTGAAACCAAAAAGTTGCCAAAGAAATTTGCACTGCTCTCACTAGCGTTACAAACCAGGGAGAACCGGTCACATGACATGACATCACCGGTTCTCTCCGAATTCTTAATCACACATGGCAAGCCTCACACGTGGCAAGCCTTCAACCCCACAGCATCGCGGCCCCGCGTTTTCACGTGTGCATGTAACAAAGCACAACGAAACTATTTATATCTTTTATTTTTGTTGTAAAAAAATAAAAAATAAGCATAAAATAATGTTGTTAAAATTTTTTTTATTCAATTAGGAATTCTATCTTTCTATTATCAATCTTTTTTTACTAAATTTATTTTAGAATCAAAAAAATTAAAATTTTGAAAAATTGAAGGGTTATTTCGAAAATAATGTTGTTAAAAAAAATATATATTCCATTTGAAATTCTATCTTTCTATTAACTAAATTTATTCTAGAATCTAAAAAATTAAAATTTTGAAAAATTGAAATTTTATTTCGAAAATTGATACGCATTCAAATAATTTCTATATTGATAACCAAATTTTTATTTTATTTATTAATTTTTCTATTATAAATCATGTAATGTACTATTTTTCTTACAGTTGTCAATAATACATTTTAAATTAGATGATATTATAAAATATTTTGGATTTGTTATTGTTTGTATAATAAAACAATTATAAAATGTTAACCAAAAATTTTAATTTCAGTATATAATATTATAGTTAGTTAGGTTGTAATAATTTTAGATTATAATTAGGTTGTAATAATTTGGATTTTTTTAGCGAATTAGGGTTTTCCGCCGATTCGATATTTTAGTGGCCATTTTTTCATCGATTTAGTCTACTCTTTATTGTAGTCTATGTATGATTGATATACTTTATCACTGATAATTCTATGATTTTTCTTTTGTGTGATGTAAATTTATATATAGAGAAAGAACGTCTCAATATTCACAAATTGATGAAAAAAATGAAAGTTAACAATGTAGTACCATCGATTCTTATTGGATTCTTAAAAAATAACATTTATAATGAATTTTAACAATTTCCTTAGATTTTTTTAAAGCTTAATCCAACCGAGTCAGACGATTCCCGATATGGATCGTCGATTCACCGATCCGGATGGGTTTTTGGAGTGCCCGATCGAGGGCACCGATCCGTTTTTTAAACACTGGTTGCAAGGGAATAATATTCGAATATAATTGTTCGGGTTGGTCTAGCCCTTCTTTTCTTTATTTTAAAATTTTTTTACTTTTTATATTTTATTGGCCAATTCTCATTTTTTTGCACTTTTTGAGATCAGCCATTTGCAAAACCAGACAGGTTTCCCAGATGACTGGTTCACCTCACCAATCTACGCTTTTAAATATTGGTCAGATTTTGATTTGGATCAGCCCCTACCAATTTGTGGAAGAAAGATTTACAAAAAATAAAAATCATAGTTTATTTTGGAAATTTAAAAATAGTCTTATATATTTTATATTTACATTTAAGAAGTATTATATTTAGGGGAGCCCACTGGCTCACATGATCATTATATATATATATATATATATATATATATATATATATATATATATATAGTAGTAGTATATACTCTACTACTTAGTTAATTATTAATAACTAATACTACTATAGATAC